CGATTTTGATGATTTTTTACAGCTACACTCCTTGAACCTATATGAATACAATGAATGAACTCGATCTTCAATTTAAAATATTTGCACTAGTGGATACCACAAAATCTTATGTTATACTTAATGAAAGTATGAATAAACTTTTAGGTGTTAGTGAATCTATTATATCCTTGCACATTTAATATTTTGTAATAGACTAGTAGTGTATGGATGTTTGTTTATTAGGCTCTTATTTTCAAGTGTAGATGTAGTACTTAAACGACAAATGTGTTTTAATGTTTTGAAGTAATATTTATGTGGCAATGTGTGGTATGTAAAAATTTAAGAAAAAAAATACATTTTTTCTTAATGGGTCATAACGGTTCGGGTCACTTCACCCGTTGGGTAAAGTGACCCGACCTGTTAAGGAACGGTTAAGATAACGGGTGTGACACGACACGACTCGTTAAGATAACAGGTGTTATACGAAAACGACACGAACACGACAGACACGACCCGTTTGCTAGGCCTAACCATAATCCATAAACTTTAGATTTATGTTTAACCATCGATTGTTGTTTACACTTTATTTTGCTCACCGATTTTTTTTTTATTTTTAAACATGATCATTTAGTGGATATAGAAAAATCAAAGGGTCAAATTGTTGATATCACGTTGCGATATTTATGGTTAACTAAAATATGAGTCGATGTTATATAGTTTCTAGAGACTTCATAAACTCCGAGCAATATTTTCACGAATTGTAAAACTTTGAACATAATATCAACGATCCAAACTGTTTATCGTCTTGCATCCTCTTAAAAATCATGTTTTCAAAAAAGAAAATCTGAAAAAACCAAATTTGGTGAGAAGAATGGAGTGAAAATGTAAACGACAATCACTGTATAAATTTCTATCTATAGTTTATGTGATTATAATGACGATCTACAAAGTTAGAGCCCTTGAAAGAATGAACAATACAGTCAATACTTGCATCCTCTCCTAGTGGTGGATACACACATTAAAACCCTACAAAAAAAAAAAAAAAAAGAGTTAGGCGCACGAATTTCATAATCTAAACCGTTCAAATCCAAGTTTTTTCATAAATAAGAATCCTTATCAAACTGAAATCGGATGGCGCGAGAGAATAATATGGGAGGGAAGTCGGGATTAGCATGCAATTGGGAGGGAGATCATGAGGCGACAAATTAGGATTAGCATGCAACTGGGAGGGAGATCATGATGTGAACCGACAATTGGGGGATGTGAACCGATTATGGGAGGGAGATCATGTGGCGGCAAAATAGGATTAGGAAGAAATGGGAGGGAGATCATGCAATTGGGGGATGTAGGTTTGGATTGCCTTGGGAAATTTATAAATTTGTTCTTATAATTATATGTTATGTATTTATAATGGATGTTTACATACAACCGTATTCAAATTTACAATTGCAATTGACTAATTGACTAATAATTGATCATAACCTAAACCAAGTTATCTGTTGCTAGAAAGTAGTTTGGAGTCAGAATTGATAAGAAGAACTTTTTCACTACATGATCTAGATTTACAGTTTTACAACATAATTTTCGCATGAGAATATATATGGAAGCGAACATAAAGAGATTGGGTTAAGTTGCAAGACTAATACTATAAGGAATTTTTTATTTTTCCAAACACTCACATATTATGAAATCAAATTGTCAATATAGATTATTGATGGCATAAAACTACAATCCAGAAATATGAAATGCTAGATATCTCTTTATCTATGCTCCCGTCCTATAGAGAAACAAGAAAGACAGAATGAGAGCATAAATAGTCGCCAAGAGCTTTGATTGCGTTCCCCGGAAAAAAATGGAAAGGTGCACTGTTGAAAATCTCTCACGTAGAGTTATTATTACCTTGCCGATGACATACTTTATTGCCTCTTTAATCAATTTGCCGATGAAATACTTTGTTGCCTCACATCATCGGCTAATATTTCAATATAACGGGAAAAGTTCCCGCCAAAGTTTACCCGTCAAAACAAAATTTGTCAGGGCATCGAATTTACGCCTACAAAATGATCGTCGGCTAACGTTCCAATTTTCTCGGCTAAGATTGGCGTTATAAATTGATTCTATCGTGAATATTTAGCCAACAAATTAAAATTTTCGTCGAGAAAGGACTCTTGTGCCGACAAAATTTTGCTTTGTCGGTTTATAATTTGTCGGCAAAATTATATTTTCTAGTAGTGATAAAGTCAGCAGTTAGATCAGTTGATTAAGATAACGTGTTTTGCACTTCTTAAATTTAAGTTCGAGACTTGATCTTCATACAGTAGAAGTGAGAATTGGTTTTGCATGCATGCTTAGAATTATTCATTACTTCTATATAAATTTTATAATAACTAGGTCAGTAGACTATGACAATATACATTCTCTAAAATTTGAGGTTGATTGAAACCCTTAATATATTCTAAATGGAGCATAGGGGAACATAGATTAAAAAAAAAAAATGGAGGGGAACAACTAGATTTCCCGAATTAGCAGTCAGAGCCTAATGAGGAGGTGGTCCAGTAGGTAACATGGAATTTGGGACCAGAAAGCAATCACAGAGCCCTAAAAAGCATGAATTTAACTGAAAACCGTGTGTAATGCTCGAGGACGTGGGACTCTGTAGAAGGAGGAGGAGGACCCAAATTTTGAGTGGGAGGGAATGAGATGCCGACGCGTGTGGGACTGAGTCACTGTGGGAATCAAAAGTAAACTTCAATATCTCCTTCGCTGGCATTGGCCATTCAGAAGGCGAGGTGAGGAGGGGTGGATTTTGCGGTGGTGGTGGGGTGAGAGACCTTCGGACTCACTGCTGCTAATCAGTGATCAGACTCTCTCTCTCACAGCAGATGATCGGTCTCAGAGAGAGGAGAGAGGGGGTTGGGGTCCGTTGGGACCAGAGCATTCCTGTGAGAACATGTTGTGTTTGGGACAGACATCTCAGGGTGTGTCCCATTCCGTTGTTTTTGCTGACACTATCACGTTATATATTGCACCCTCTCATGCATATCATAATCATATATCACACCTTTACACACACACACACACACATATATATATATATATATCTGCACTTTCCCCTAGTGCGGTAAGCTACGTTAACGTTGATACCATAATTGTCCAGATATATGTTTTTAACGTCGCTAGTATTAACACCGTAATTCTCTTGTCTAACGGGGTGGAGTTTTGCCAAAGTTAAGGGGTTGTTTGCTACGTAAGATTGGATTCAAATAGATGAGTTGAAGACGAATTAGTTATGAAGGAACTGATAAGTTCCAATCTTCTTCAAAATGGTAAGATTGGACATGAAGTAAACTTCTTCCTTCTAATCCTCCTTAGTAATTCACCTTCTACCTCCAAGAGTTGCCACAAAATTTTCATTATTTCCTTTTAATATACCATAAAAATAGTTGTTATCGGTTCCAATCCAATCGTCTATATATCGGTTCCAGCATTTTAAATTTTGGCCCCTCAATTTAAATCCTACTTCCTTTCTTAATTGTCGGTACGTTCTTCATATGATTATCTATATGCATGTCATTGAAGTGGCGTTAACTGTTTCAGAAACCTCAATATCTTGCTTTCCCATCTCAGAATTTCTGAGTTCTGAATCTCTGATTATCTAAGCAATATATATGTGTACATATGTGTGTGTGTATATATATATATATATTAATCAATATCTCAGCAATGTTAAACAGCAGGGAAAACACTGCGAAATAATAATTGAAAGACACACATGGCACCACCCCTCTTTTTCGAACCAAATTGGTCCAACCGATACATGTGAACGTCGGCATAATAAAGCACATCACTTAGATTTTAGCTCAGCAAATCAATCCAGCTAAGCAGGACCAACCAACCTTACCATATTGTGCAGAATGAGAGCCAGCAATGCTATAATACTGAAACAGTTCAGTGTAATAGGTATGTAGCAACTGTAACACCACCTTCCACAATGTATTGAATGTTGGATGGCAGTACAATATATAGAGTATGGATCAGAGAAGGGTAAGGCTAGTGGAGTAGATGAGAAGACGTAAGAAGCTTCATGCAACGGAGATGCCATTGTGACGGTATTTCAAGTCAATTATATACTATCACGTGAGAAAGTTAAAACACATGACAATGCGTTATTGACTTGAAATACCGTCACAACAGCGTTTGAGTTGATGCCTTGTTCTATCAACCCTTTCACCTTGAAAATTAGGGACTAGACCTTATAGAGCAGCTCGAATTATGCTCCAAAACCCTAAAAGATTATGGTCCTACAACCCTACAAGATTAGCCCCATTTGAACCGCCATGTTGAATCCATTTTTTCGTACAATGATGCAGGGCATGATTGGGGTTAGTTAAAGCGAAGAAAATTAAAGAAAATAGTGCAGCACAAAATAATGAAAAAAATATTGCAGATGCAGGCCTAGAAAAACTAAAACATTCATATTTTCGAAGATCTCGTGTTGTTCAAGTGCGCTTCAAGCAAAGAGAGGTTTTGAGTTTCAAGATTTGGTAGAAAACTAGGTTATCATCATTTTCAAAGTGCTTATACAACTTGCAAGTCTCGACCAAATTCCAAAAACAAGTAAGTTGTACAGATTCTCTGCTGATTTCGAGATTGGCCACCAAATTAATGGCAAAAAACTGCCTGCTGGGTTTCGAGGCAAAGTGATGAACATTATCACCAGCACTACATGCTGTCGAGAAAAAACATATGTGTTGTGGTGTCTGATGGAACAAGGCATGCAGATGCACGCAGAATGGCCGACGCCATTCCTCTGCAATTTCGATATTGCTAATGTCATTTTTATGGGTGACATGTCGTGTCATCGGTTAGCAGACATTACGAAAATAATCCTGTGGTGCTTCAGAGTATAATATATTTCGGAATTTTTAACGGCCAGATCAAATTCATTATTTTCTTAATTAAGAATTTAGCTGTTAAATCCGGAATATAGGCTAGCTGGAGCATCCGTAACCACAATTTGGTTTTGGAAAAAATAGCATTATCCACAGTGGAAGATATTCTACGTTAAACAGTTAAAAGTAAAGCTTCTTCAACGGTTATAACCAACAAAACTGTCAGCCTCACAGTCACAGAGCAGCCAGCAACAATGGCGGCTCCTCTTTCCCTCCACCACATTAGACCGCCTTTCAATTCCGACATCCCACACTTATGCACCAAACCCACCACAGCCACCGCCATCGCCGCCACGGCCGCCGTCGCGACCGTCACCAAAAACCCAATTGAACCGCACCCATGTCTCACATTACTAGACAAATGCTCTACAATGTCCGAGCTCAAGCAAATCCACGCCCAACTTCTCCGAACCGGGCTCTTCTTCGATGCCTTCACGGCCAGCAAAGTCGTCGCCTTTTCGGCTCTGGAAGGGTCTGGGAGCCTCCGTTATGCCCGTTTAGTCCTAAACCAAATCCCCAATCCCACTACTTACACTTGTAACTCGGTTATCCGTGGCTACACTAACAAGGATTTGAACCGGGACGCTATTCTTTTCTACCAAGAAATGATTTTGCAAGGTTGGGTGCCTGACAGGTTCACATTCCCATCTCTGTTCAAGTCGTGCGGGGATTTGCATGAGGGAAAACAGCTGCATTGCCACTCTACGAAGTTTGGTTTCGCTTCGGATTCATACATTCAGAACACTCTGATGAACATGTATGCGAATTGTGGATGTTTGGTCTCCGCTCGGAAGGTATTCGACAAAATGACTGAGAAGAGTGTGGTTTCTTGGGCAACCATGATTGATGCTTATGCGAAATGGGATCAACCCGTTGAAGCTTTGTGGTTGTTTGAGAGGATGGAGAGTGAAAATGTGGATCCTAACGAGGTTACATTGGTTAACGTTTTGACTGCGTGTGCGAGGGCGAGGGATTTAGACATGGCAAAAATGGTGCACCGGTGCATCGATAATTACGGTTTTGGGAGCCATTTAAAGCTCAACACGGCGCTCTTGGATGTTTATTGCAAGTGTGGATGTGTATCGCTTGCTCGAGATTTGTTTGACACAATGCGGGAGAAGAACTTGTTCAGTTGGAACATCATGATCAATGGACATGTTGAGGACAGTAACTACGATGAAGCGTTCCTCCTCTTTCGGGAAATGCAGCTTAAAGGAGAAAAGGGAGATCAGGTGACTATGGTGAGTTTATTGCTTGCTTGCAGCCATTTGGGTGCTTTAGAGCTTGGTAAGTGGTTGCATGCCTATATAGAAAAGGAGAAAATTAAGGTTGACGTTGCCCTTGGGACGACACTTGTTGACATGTATGCAAAATGTGGGAGCATAGACGATGCATTGGAAGTTTTCCGAAAGCTGCCTGAGAAGGATGTTATGACTTGGACAGCGTTGATTTCCGGTTTTGCGATGTGTGGACAAGGGAAGAAGGCTTTGGAGCATTTCCATGAGATGCAGAAGAGTGGGGTGAAACCAGATGCAATAACATTTGTTGGGGTTTTGGCTGCTTGTAGTCATGCTGGATTAGCAGACGAGGGGATTTCGCATTTTAACTCAATGTCTGAAGTACATGGCATTCAGCCTAGCATTGAACACTACGGTGGTATGGTTGACATATTAGGCCGAGCTGGTCGCATTGCCGAAGCAGAGGAGTTGATTCGGAAGATGCAAATGCCGCCGGATCGTTTTGTTTTGGGAGGGCTTCTTGGTGCCTGCAGAGTCCATGGCAACCTTGAGGCTGCAGAAAGAGTTGCTCGACAGCTTCTAGAACTTGACCCGAACGATGATGGGGCGTATGTGCTTCTATCAAACTTGTATAGTTCTATGAAGAAGTGGGATGAGGCCAAAAGAATCAGGGCACTCATGGCAGAAAGAAATGTGAAGAAAGCTCCAGGTTGCAGTCTGATTGAGGTTGATGGCATTGTCCATGAATTTGTGAAGGGCGATTCATCTCACCCGCAAACAAGCAGCATCTATGAAATGCTGGAAGACATGATCAGCCGGTTGAAGAAAGCCGGTTATGTTCCTGAGAAATCTGAGGTGTTGTTGGATATAGATGAAGAAGAGAAGGAGACTGCACTCAGCCTCCACAGTGAAAAGCTGGCAATTGCATTTGGGCTCATAAGCACAAAACCGAGGACAACAATACGAGTAGTGAAAAACCTGAGAGTATGCAGCGATTGCCACACTGCAACCAAGCTCATCTCGAAAGTTTACAACAGAGAAATAATCGTGCGGGACAGAAGCCGCTTTCATCGGTTTAGGGATGGATCTTGTTCCTGTAAGGATTTCTGGTGATGTAGCTTTGAATATATTAACAAACTTCAAAATTCTTGTTCACTGAAAAGTCGCAAAGCTTTGGTGTCTATTGTAATCAAAGAATCTCCCTAAAATATCGGATCAATTAACTATTAGAAAAGCATGAAGTTCGACATGGAAACTGCTGTAAGACATAACTTCAGAAAGTGGATGTGGCGCAGTCATGATACCACTGTCTGTATGCACGTTCTCAAGCCTCTTCACAACAGAAAGAAAAAATGCAGATCGAAAACGAAGATTGCACAGCATTCGTGTAAATTGAAAGCAAGGACGTGATGTTTATAGAAATGAATCAGATGCAACATAATTTTGAGATAAAAATTATGGCATTGTCATTAATCACTGGTGATAAGGTGAGCTGAAGTGCTCCAAGATATCAAATTATAACAACATAATTAACAAATATTTGTCGATATCAAGTACAGAAAATTTCCTAATTTACTAATTGCTGAAGATAAAACTTCAAACATGCACTGCAGCTTCACCAGTGGCTACAAAATGACAAAGTAGAATGGAATTCTCACTTAGAAGCAAGTTTACCGGAAATTACCGTCCCTTGATTTTCTTCGGAAAAGTCATCAGCATCATCCTCACTGAGAGCCTGCTTAGAAGCTGTTGCTTCACGTGGTGACGGAGCACTGCTTACTCCAGTTACAGACTGCTGATAAAGAACACCTCCTACGATTGTTAAGAGGAGACAGAGCAAACCGAATGGACTAGCATGCTTATCCCAAATTAGCACATTGATTGCAACCGTAAGAAACTTGTTCACAACACCAGTCACAGTAAATGCGGTAGCAGAGACTGCCTTCCTTGCTGCAAACCCAAAGAAACTGATGAGCAATCCAAACACACATGACAATGAGACCGCGAAAAGTGCACCAGGTTCAAAGAAATTCGCAGCATTCGACCCCAAAGCAGCAAACACATCAGAATACTCTCCAGTAATTATCCAAAATGGAGGAGCCATCATCAGTGACAAAAGATTGTTGTACAACACAAAACCCCATGTGTTCAACCCGAGATTTGTGACCATATGCTTAATATAAACCATCTCAGTTGTAATGGTCACCAAATAAGCAAAGGCCCATGAATACGCAGTCAAAGTAAAACCCGAATCTGTGGCCACATAACCAACAGCTCCACCCAAAATGATCAACAACGACACAAAGGTAAGCTTAGACGGGATAGGCTGTTTCCTAAATGCAGTATCCGCCAACGCAACCAAAAGGGGTGTGCAGGATCTAAATACTATAAAAGTATCCACATTGGCATGGCGAAGAAGATTGGTGTTGGTAAAGATAGCAAGGTAGAACACAAGTGCAGCAGGTAAAAACTTCTTCGCCGTCTGCCATGTGAAGGGATCGTGGTGCAAAAATCCCGACTTTCCCAAAACCCAAACTCCCAAAGCAGAAGCAAGGTACTGCAATGCAGTCAAAAGGCCAGGGTAGTTGAATTTGGTAATGGCAAACTTGTTTATCACAGCTAATAAGCTAGAACAGAGAGCATACCCAATCACTAGACTGCTCGTAGCGAAATACGGCTTAGCGGAATCGACTCTAATCGCAGACATTGTCACTGCCTAGAATACCAATTCGATTTCAGAGCAAAAAAAACCAGGAGATCTTCAAAATTTCAAGAGCTACACGGACAGTGAAAGGCTACACTAACAGAGGCAAGCGAGTGAAATCGAAGAGGTGAACACTTCATAGAGAAATCTGGGATAAGGGTTTTGAAAATTATGCCGATCTACTATTTGGGTATGAAATTAATGCATTAAACGACGATTGATTCGACTGAAATTTAGAGTTATGGAAGAAATTGTACATCACCAACATACAGAAAAGCTCGGATCTTTGAAGCCAAAAGAGCAGAGGGCCGGCTTGTGGAGGAGGTTGAGATCTCGGAGGGAGCTCCGGCGAGCTCAGAGGAGGCAGGTGAAATTTCTACGGCTTTGAGATTATGTTCATACAAGGGGAGGGAGAACGCGTTTTGAAGACTTTTTGGTCTTTTAATCAGGTAATTGTGAATATAATATCCCACCAAAAATTTGACAAAATTGTGAATATTATTTGAAGACTTTTCTCTCCTTTTTTTTTTTATTGATTACAAATATTTTGTTTCTATGTTTTGAAAAAGAGCTACCTGATCTGCCAGTTGATTGTTGAATTTTATTTTTCTTTGAATTATTAAAATAGTAATGGGTGATTAAATTTTTTAAATTAAATTTGTAAACCAAATGATTGGATTATTAATTAAGTGTTGATTAATGTGTTTGTTTCTTATTAGTAACACGTCATTTGGTTTAAAAATTTATTTTTCCTAACATTATCCTTATTAAAAATAGAATTCCACTACCAACTGCTACATAATATGGTTTACAAAATATGGTCTAAAAAGATGATGTCCTTAGTATTTTCCTTCCGTCAGATCATATGTTGTAAACCGAGTGATGTGACGTTCAATAATTGAATTCTTTATTTAAATGACTAAAGAAGAAATTCAATAATCAACCGTCACATCATATGGTATACACAATATAGTTTAAGTAGATGGCTCTAGTATTACCCTCTGCCTAAATAGTTTCTGGGGTACGAACGTTTATCAAGTGCAACACTTATAAGACCATCGGATTGTGTATTCCACCAATCAAATTGTGTACTTGGCGTTGGTATGTTTGTGTTAATTGAAGTTAGTGAGTTAGTGTGTTTGTGTTAATTGTAATATATGGGTTTGATTTTGTTGACTAAGTTTCTAATTTTGTGTTTGACTTGGTCTGATTTAGCGTTTCCTGAGGCTAATGGAGGAGCAAACTCAGATTTGGGTCTTGCTTTGTTTGCCAAATTTTCATCAGTTCATTTGGACTTGTAACGTGCTAATTTGGATTTTCGGTATTACTTTCAGCTCCTTGGTTCGAAATTTGGGTGTGAGTAGCTCTCTTTCTCTGCTTGAGCTTCCAAGTAATGTGATAAGTTGATCAAACAATTGATTCGGGTATATCTAGGCATTTCTACAAGAAATTTAGTGGCATCGTAGCGTTTTACTTTTAGGCAGTATAAGTGTGTTGCTGCTGCATTATACTACTGATACGCATGTAAAAATTTGTCTTGTAAGTCGCAGTAATTTATCAAGAATCGATAAAAGTTAGTTACTTTTGGTGGCCTAAGTTACCACATAAGTTTTCCATACTTTTGAGTGTCTGTGCTCATTTTTCTTAATCTTCATAACAATCATTCAGATCTCTTTTATCTCTGCGCAAACGTTTTCCAAAGTTATTAGAAGTTGGGCAGAAAAAAGTTCATGACAGAATGGTGTTGGAAGGTTAATCCAAAATTAAGTTACCAAGAGTCATAAATCAGGGTTAAGAAAGATAGAAGTTCTAGAGTTGTGATGTTTGGAATTTCTAGAGTTAATCATGATTTCTATAGATGTTTCAATTATTAAGAAGCTTATAATTAGCTAAATAAATGATGATGTATTGTAGTGGCCATAAAAGCCATGTAGTATTATGAGTTTGATGTGTGAAAGAAATCAAAAGTCTTTTCAAGTTTAAAAACCTCTCCCACCTCATAAAATATTGGCTTGAAACATCTTTCATATAAACCTATTAAAGCATTTCTCCATCGCCCTTCCTCCTACAAACGGTGGGCATTTCTTTCTTCTGGCTCCTATTTTGTTCAAATCATGTTCATATGCAATACTATTTTCCCCTTGATACTGTGTGTAAACCATGAATTCTATGTTGTGGGGAGGGTTAAATATCTTTAAAATTGTTGGATTTCTGATTTTTCTTAAGATTTGGAGCTGAGAGTAGTTAAATTTATTAGCTTGAACCATGAGGTGTGCTGAAAGATGGAATGCTTAGTAGTGATAGGGACTTAAAACTTAGATAAATTCTAGGAGTTTTGCTACAGGAATAGCCCCTAGCTTAGATGAATTCAAGAAATGTACAACTTAGCCTCTTATATGTTTTAGACCAAGTCCATTTCATGTCATTTTACACTAATCATATCATGTGTGTAGATTTTTCTTGATGGATGCATTTAATGTAGAAGCTAATGGGATCAAAGCTCTGTTCTTTTTCTTCGAGATTGCTTTTTGCTCATATGTATCATATTAGCTTCTCACTCTTTGTTCCATTGCACTGTGTCCTATTTCCAATACCGATCACTTTCTATATCACGTGGTGGTTTATTCACTTTGTGGATAGCTTCTTCTCTCCAATCTATGCTCAACTTGGAATCGACATTTTTGGTATGAAGTATTCTGAAATGCATTCCTTAAACCCCATTATTTGATTGGTACATTCTAACTTGCATTAGCTATTGGTCTTGGGGTATGACGTTACTGACTAAGTATCTAGTCCATTTTCTCTCTTCATCTAATCCTCGACACAAATTTTGGTGCGATAATCCGAATTTAGTAAAGAACAGTTTCTATCCTTAGAGAAAGGAAATCCAGATGCTGGTGTAGCTAGGGGTTTGATTTTCTTTAACTTGGATGCTTAATTGTCTTCTTCTTAGAAAAAGGTCTTTGATTGCACTAGTGCCCATATATCTTATCTAGAGTATGTAACAATAAGAAGAGAAAGATGTTGTGATGATCCAAAAGGAATTGTTGATTGTGGACTAGAAAATCGAAGTGGTTCCCTGAAAACAGAGCAGAAGATGGAAAGTCGAAGAACTCGAAAACCAAGTTTGGATCACAAGGCAGAGAAGGATGTTGTGATCGCAGGGGAGTATCAGATCCCTTCATCTTTTCAGCTCATGTCCAGAGGAGCTCAGAAGCTGAGCCGTATGATTGATTCCTAGTCGAAAGGGATGAGGTTCGAATGGCAGCAGCCGAAAGACATTGCCAAAGACTTGTTGAAAGGAGCTCTTCATCTGCATGCTCTCTTGTCATGCTTGGCAAGTTGCTGGAAGCTTTACAGTACGATTCACTTGAACAAAAAACACATTTCTGTGACGGAATTTGAAAAACTGAGGCATTTTGCCGATGGGTTTTTGAAGAGTGGAAATGAAGAGCTTAAGAAGGTGATCAGAGACAGCCATGTGAGGCAGAACCTGGTGGAAAATACAGAATATTTCGAAATCAGTTGTAAGTCTTCTTTGTCCCAAAATCTTTTTAGAAAATTTGTGCCTTTTTTTTTTTTTTTTTTTTTTTTTTCTGCCATACAAATATAACTTTAGTAATGTTCTTTTTATGCAGACCAAAAATGTTGTGGGTGAAGAAAGTGAGAAAATAATTATTATGGACAATAAGAATGACGCTTCCCCATTCAAAGCTGGACTTGCAGATGAAAACTCTAAGGAAGAAGAGACAGATGCCTATGTATCTCACAGTGGAGGTATGGCCTTCTTGAATTGCAAGTAACTTAGTTTATGTAATGTCCAGTGTTTACTACTAAGTATGGTTACGCGAGTAAAATGAGAAATGCATTTGACAAGAAAATGTGTGGTGCATTTGTAGGGCAAGTATTTCTGCGAATTCGAATGGTATTTCTCGAATCATTGGATGCTTAACTTATATGGGTTTTTGTAATGCTGAAATGTTTCTGAATGCCATATATCTTCAAAATTCAAAACAATTACTTACTGGAAAAATCACAAGAATCTGAAAGATATATGAAATATTGACTTGCTGATGATGAAGCTAGCGGTGATCTGTAGACCAAGAACTCAGATATGTGATGATGAGGATGAGCTTGATGATGACGATGCATCACCGCCTTGATCGTGCCTCACCATAGAACCAATCTGGTGAGACTTAATCTAGACAGGTGATGCTTTCACTTCACAATTTTTGCCTTTTTCCATTCTGTCATCTGTAGTAATTCACGTTTGATTACTGGGATGATTATTATCAGATGCGTCATGGCTTGGTCCTGCCTCATCATAGAACCGGGGTGAATATGGCTCAAAAACATAAACAGCACGATGCAAATCATGCATATTTTACTTCATAGGTTTGTCCCATACTAGATTAACTCCTATTCTCTTCATTCTATCAGGATAATCCCTGTCTCCAAAAATTACATCAACTTTATCCCCGCTTTGCAAATTGAGCTTATCGTTCGATATATGTCCCTGCCAAAGATAATTGCGCAGATATGATCTTCTGATGGTCTCCCGCAACTTAGTATGCTTGGTATTATTTACAATAGTAATGGCAATAGTGAAAGAACATTGGGAAATGCAGAACAGAGCTAGTCCTTCAAAATTATGATCATCACTAGGGGGAATATCAAAACTGACTTTATTGCCATCATTGACAAACTCAAACCAATCAGGAACATAACTCCAATGGAGGAAAATGCCACCGAGTCCGCAGGAAGTCCATCCCTATATATACAATAACAAGTGTCATATACATACATGCACATATGCGTTTGTGTGTGCATGCGATCGATAGGAAGGCAATTAACTTAGGGGGGAGAGAGAGAAAGAGAGGTACCTGTAGGATTTTCTTCTTAAAATCAGCTGTGAGACTGGTGCAGTTAATCATATGAATCGATGTCATGGAGTTTAATGACTTATCCAGGCCTGGAACCTCAATGAGTTTGGGTGAATCACTTATATCCAGTTCTCTCATATTTGTCATTTCTGAAAAATTAGGCATTGTTTCCAATGCAGGGCAACTATTGGCATGCAGAAATTTCAAATTTGTTGGTAAGTCGGGGATTGTATGAAGAAACTTGCATTTACGTAACAGTAGAGTTTCAAGCTTTGAAAGACCACTGAAGCTTGGTAGGGTATGAAAATCATTCCCTCCAAGATCCAAAAATTGTAAAGAACTTAGACTCCCAAGATCCTTGGGGATTCCATCATCGTTTAATGCGCCCATTGTGTGACGAATGATACGAAGGTTGGGGATTCCATCATCGTTTAATGCGCCCGTTGGTATACAGTAAGCACCAAAACGTTCAGCACAAGGCGCTGCCATTATAGATAAATGAGTGAGTTTCTTCAATCTTACTGTGGTATGTGGTAGTTGACTTATGGATGTCTTATCTGCTCTAAGTACTCTCAATGATTCCATCTCCCGTAAATCCTCATGCAGTTCTCTGAATTGATAACAACCATTAAGAAGAAGAGTCTCCACAGATTTCAACCTATAGAAATCCCTTGGAAGAGAAACAAGCTTGTTACACCATTCAAGGTTCACCAAAGAAAGTCTTGTAAGATTACCAATGGAGGGGTGAATTTCTAACAAACTTATACAGCCTTCTAATATCAACTCTTCAAGATTTGGGACTTGCGAAAAGTCCGGTGATTTAATTAGGAAACCCGGAACCAGTGAGATTAATGATTTTCAAGTTCTGAAGCGACTGTTGCAGAAAAGCAAAGAAAAATTAAAATTAATATCCAAAAGGAAGATGTCATGAAAAAGAGAAGGAAATCCAAAAGCAAAATAGAAACACAACATCATTTTTTGTGTAATTGATTGTACCTTGGAACCCTCCCAAACTTTTACCAGACCGCTGCCAATCATCTCTAAAAATACTAGTTTATCTTGATTAAAAAAGTCATCTGGTATGGACTCCAAAGGGCATCCTCTCCACCTCAACCATATTAACTCTTTGGGAAGATGTTTGTATTCTCCATTGAGCTTTACGTTCCGGAGTTGAAGCAGTCTCAGTTTATTCATATGGGCAAATGCTTCTGTACTGAAACAACTAGACTTGTTAGGGAAATGTAGAGCAAGTCCTTCAACTTCTTCGGTTCCCTGTTAACAGAAAAAGGTTATAGTGGTAAGAAACGGATTATTTGCATATGTTTACCTGTATTACTATTCATTACGCAAAATCACATACGATGAATATATGAAAGTACTATTGTTGGCTAGTTTAACATTCTTTGTGCAACCGCACATATTTACACATGAATGTTATTTAATGTGTAATAGACATACGCACACGGTTACATATATGCTTTTCTTGTACAATGCATTAATTCAAAATTAAATTGGGAATGTACTTACAGATTTCTTTGTTAATACATGGGTGACATCTTGAGGATTCCACAACCTACTCCATTTTTCAGGCTGACGAGGAGATTTTTCAGAAATGATTACTCTGGCCATTTCTCGAAGCAAATCATGCATATTCAACTTGTTGCGTTCAACAGTTACAAGACATCGTTCACAAAGGACACTGATTCCTATTGTCGCAAAAAATTCACATTCATCTAATACTTTTGCGACATAGTCCTTGTCCTCTCCAATAAAGAAACAACATATGTCAAGGAATATAGCCTTCTGTGTATCATCTAGCCCTTCAAAGCTTATTCTTAGTGCTTCTATTATGTTTCGTTCAGGAGTTGTTTTCAATTTCTTCAATTCACATTCCCACTCTGCAATGGGTCTTTTAACCAAAAAAGAACCTACAACTTCAAGGGCTAGTGGCAAACCATAACAGTAAGAAACAAACTTTTCTGAGAGTTCAAGAAATCCTTCGCTAGGCTGTCGATTTCCAAAGGCATGCCAACTCAAGAGCTCTAGAGCTTCTTCTTTATTCAATTTCTGAGCCGGATATGTCTTGTTCACTTTCCCTTGCTTTAGTAAATGTTCATCTCGTGTCGTTATGATAATTCTACTTCCAGGACCAAACCATTTGTGATTTCCAGCTATTGCATTCAGTTGTTCCACTCGATCTATGTTGTCTATGATGAGAAGTACCTTTCTATGTGAAAATTGATCTTCTATCAGACTGATACCTTTATCAACACTGCTTATTTCAGACTTCTGTTTCAAGATGTCAAAAATAAGTTTTTCTTGCAAATAAGTCAGACCATGTTTACTTGTATTGTCGTGAACGTTGGCAAGGAAACATTTGAACTGGAACTTATGATGAATTTTGTTAAAAATGGCTTTCGCAGATGTTGTTTTACCCAATCCACCCATCCCCCAAATTCCAACCATGAGAACATCATCTGATCCATCACTTGAAAGATAAGTGATAATATCTTTAATCCGAGAATCGATTCCAACTTGGTGCTTGGCCGCTGGTAATATGTTTACGGTTAAAAGCCAGTTCGTAATAACCTTGTCAACAATTTCTCTTATAACCGTTGCTTCGTGCCTGAAAATTGAATTCGTAAGCATTAGTGGGACTCAATGAAGGCAAAGTAGGAGCTATCAGTACATAAACAAATTTCTTTCCTCCATACACACACACACACACACACACACTACCAGGCTGCTACTAGCATGTGATTTTGTGACCGAACTGAATAAAAGAAACAGTCATTCATTGATTTATAAAAGTTAGTTGTATTATTTAAGGGAACTGTTATTAACACTTTAAAAACTTATTCTATACTTCTCTCACAAGTATATTTTTTTTTCTAATTATAGAAAGTTGGGAGTGTAAAATGAGAGGTTAAGGTGTATTAATTAAGCACACTAATAAATGTTTGGCTTCTGTAAAATATTAATTAAGCATGTTAATTATAGGGGCATTTAGACTTAAGGACCTAAATAAGATTATTTTTTCATTATAACTAGGACACTTTTATAAATCTAACTTTAGTCCCTGATTCTAAAACTCATTATCACGTCACATTAAATACCCCTGCACACTTTTATTATTTTCAAATTTTCTTTCTAAAATTCCTAATTTAATCATCAAGTAGGCCTTAAAAATATGATTTTTTATTTCTACAAATCAAATTTAGCAATTTAAAATGGAAGATTTTTATAAACATCTTGTTAATGAGAATTAAACTATATATGAAAATTTGTACAGACAATCACAAAAAACCAAAAAATTGAACTAATATGCAGACATAATAAACAATATACACTAATAAAGGTACATAATTATATATGTAGATACACATATTCACATAGATTCAGATGTATAGGCACATCAGTACATAAATATATAGTTATGTACATATGAATAGATATACAAATTGTACACACACACACACACACACACACAGATATATATATATATATATATATGAGCAAACATATATGTAATATATGTATAGCATGATCATTATGGTAGTCTTTCTCTTCTATATATATATATATATATATATATTTTTTTTTTTTTCTTTTTTTGTTTGAGGAAGTCTCTTCTATATTTTTAGGAGGGTCTCTCCACGGTGATGAAGTTAGTTTTTTTTTTTTTTTTTTTGAAAAAAAATGCATGATATTCATTAACACATTGCAATTTTTTACCAGTATTGAATACACATTAAGTAAACATCCTCTATTTATAATAGTCAAAATAAAGCAAAACAAAAGTTCATAATTATTAGCTAGATTTCAGGTGATATATAAAGTCAAAGAACCAAAATCAGTATATTTAATCTTACACTCAACTTTAACGAAAAATAGATCTTATTTAGGGCTTATAATCTAATTTTCTATTAATTATATTTTAATTAATTAATATTAGAATGTCAGAAGATTACTTTAGCACCTCAAGACTTCATAAAAAATATTTGGATGTAACAGCCCCTAAAACAAAAACAATTCAAATCTGACTGAACCAAATTCGCAGGCGTAATTTTGTAAAAAAAATAAATATAAAAAACAAAGATTACAAAAATATTAGAAAAGAAATCGGATAATTTTTGTTTAACTTGAATAAAAGGACGAAAAATTGTCCCTACTCAGCAGTACATAAACAATTTTCTTTCCTTCTTTCCTTCATACGTACATACATACATATATATATACCCTTTAACAAGAGGGATCCTCATTTTTCTTTTTAAATCTTGACTTTAATGAAATTGTGTGGTTGAGATTAAATCACATTCCACACAATTTCATTAAAGTCAAATCCAATGATCAAAAGGCTGTCCTCTTTTTTTAGAAAAATGAGGATCCCTCTTGTTAAAGGATTCCTATATATATGTGTGTGTGATTAATTAAAAGAACGAAAGTCGTTCATTAATTAAACTCCATTTACGGTTTGGTTTTATATGAGAGATTAAGGTGTATTAATTAAGCATGATCAAATTGTATGAGAGATTAAGTCATTCACTATAATGTTTCAGATCTTGAAAAGCAGGTGAATGATTACCTATTGTCAGTGATTTTAAGATGGTAGCCAGACAAATTTGCAGCTTCTGTAAGAGCCCTTCTCCACTGGTTTACCTTTTCACGTGTCTTGCCATCTTTTTCTTCATGGATGTCCTTTTCGTGATTCTGAAATGCTTCGGTAAAATCTCCATTTTGCTTCCTGACATGTGAAGGATCAACATGATAGAATATTGGCAAAACATCTCGCCCCAGTTTGTCTCTGCACTCCATGATCTTAACCAGCTCGTCAAGACACCAACTCGAATCTGCATACATCTTTGAGAAGACAATGATAGAGATCCTCGACTCTTCAATTCCCTGGTACAGTTCCTTTTTTATTTCTTTCGTTCTTTTTAGATCGTCCTCATCGATATAAGCCTGGTATCCCCGGTCTTTGAATTGCGCGTGGAGGTGGCCGGTGAAGCCATTGCGCGTTTCGCCGCTGAAGCTAAAAAACACAGTGTAATTCCAGAGTTTTGACTTGGAGGAGGATGAAGAGGAGACTTCGTGGGCTGTCATGGCGGAATCGACCGTTATGGCATTGCAGTTGTTCATATCACGACTGGAAAAAAAAAAAAAAAATTGATGAGATAGGGACTCTTCAACTACTTCACGACTATTTATGCGAAATCTCCTCCCTTTCTCTGTCAAGAAGAGGCAGCCTTGAAGAAAAGGAAATTGATGGACTCAAGAGAAAATATATGAAAGTCCCAGGTGAATGAGGGAAGAAACAATCGAAGTTAGAGCCCACCAAACATTGCCACCCACTCTCATTCATCTTGACTGAAAAAATCGATTATGGAAAATCATTGAAAGCTAAACCCCACAAAACCCAAGCCTCTGGAACCCTAAACCATGATTGCGGAAATCACTGAGCAAAAAGTCCTACAATTTGAGATTTCAAAGACAACCTCCCATCCCAAACGAAACGCTCCCCAATTTACAGAGTACCATTAAAATATCTGAAACTTTAGAGCACCTTGCGGGTCTGTTGAGCAAAATACGAGACTGATCGGAGGAAGACAGAGCGGCGGCGAGACCTTCAGTCCCACGGTGAGGGTCGAAGGAAGCTGAAGCGGAGCCCAATTTTGGGGGGTCTTTTGGGATTTTCCCAATCACCTTCTGCAAACCCTCCATAATTCGAATGCTTCGAGAGAAAGCGCAGAGAACCCAACCCAGAACGCTTTATCCTGTTCACAATTCAGAAACCCAATTAGGAATTCCAATCTTAAGGAGGAGGAGGAGGTGGAAGATTGCTCGAGGTAGCCCTGAGGGAAGCAGTAAACGGTTGCGGGTGGGGAGAAGGGGTGGGAAGACAAACTAGGTTTTGGCTTTTTTTATTTTTATTTTTTTTAAATTAATTATTTTAAGTTTTTTTATCAAGCGTTTAGTTACGCTTCATAAATGTGGCAGTCGTCAATACAAATGAGGATTCTTTATTTGTCACGTCACCATTTAACAGTTTATTTAATAAATTTTATAACAAATATATGAAATTGAAATAAAATGATAAGTAAATATATGAAATTGAAATATTTTACAGATGTTGTAAAGAATTGAAATCGACTTTAAACCTGAGGGGATCAAATATAATTTACCCTTTTTTTAAATATCCTTTATCCTTTTACATTTCAGTTTTTTTTTTTATTCGATCACTTTTGTTTATGGCTAATGCTAAAAAAACTAAATTTATAGGTAAAAAATTGTAAATTAAATGACATGAAAATTAATAATTAGATTATTACTTAACTGTTGATTAACATACTTATTTTTTATTTGTGATACATTATTTAGTTTGCAAATGTAGTATATCTAGCATCATTCTTTATTTATTATATGTGGTTGCTACCATGCTATATCTCAAATGCTTCCAATTTTTAACATAAAATAATACATTATAATACTCTTAAAATAATTATAAGCGGTTGAACATATTCAACACTGAAAGTAGAACGGTAGAACCAGATCGATCTTCATGTAGAAATATAAAAGGTAGAGAAAGTAGGGTTAGAGTGATATAGTTTTGGCACATGGCGGGCAGGGCAAGGAAAAGGTGGATGGAGCAATGCCAGAGCACTCAGATATATACAAGAACGCCTACGTGTCCTCCACTTACATCCCAATCCAATATTCCACCTTTCGCTTTCACTTTGCCTTTGCTAGTCATAGCTACTTTATTTGTTTTTAATTTTCTTATTAATTGGGGTTTAATCCTTCCAGAATAACTTATTAATTAGTACCACTTGCTTATAATACTCTTAATGTGTCCGCTTTTATGAGAAGTTTTTCAGAATCCCAAAAACACGAGTTTCAAATAAGGGGTTGAAATGTTTTTCCAAGTGACAAACCAATTATATTATGACATTTATATAATAACGTATGACGTTTCATACCTTGCTTCGAACACGATGAAAAACTCTCCAGTGCTGGTTCATATACAGTTGCAAAAAGAAAATAAAAATGTTAGAAAGACCATCTTTTTAGATTATTAGCAAAAAGTCATGCTCTGGGTTTTAAAACTGTTAAACATAATAAAAACAGTTGGTGCAAAATTGTAATGAATGGTTTGTAACAAACAGTTTCATGACATGTTCATGTTTCGGTAAATAATATTCACATTAATAAAGAACTTGAAAAATGGTACGGAGCTCTAACAGTTTACATCTTCTCATCTTGTCTAAAAGTAAACACCACATATGGGTTCTTCCACTAAATGATATCCATTTAAGGGAAGGACATATAACATACCCAAAAAATAACAGTAGTGTTCCAATTGCTGCCAAATCTGAGATTGATGAACTGAGGTAGCAAAACGCAAAACGCAAAATGCCTTTTTAAGCACGAAAGCCTTGACAAAATAAAAACTTAAATACAGCTATTATAGAATGTACCTGAGTTCAATAAAATTTGTTTCACAGTGATCTGAAGACAGCCGCTCCCATACCGCGCTACATATTCGCCAGAAATCCAGCGACAACTCCGGAATCCCAAACGGCAAAAGAAACAAATACTATGAAGTTTTGGCCCGCCAATTGCAAGTTTAAGAACCCTAGAAACGAGTTTTATGACTTTCCACAAAACTCCCAGAACCCTAGTTCTACAGCAAGCTTTACAGAGGAACACAACTTCCCTCAAACGGAGAGCGCAAACAAAATCCCTTAAGAAACGAAAATCAGGATCTGTTTGGTGAATATTTTGTGAAATAAGGAACGAAAGATTCGAGAGCAACGGAGGATTCAAGAAAAACAGAGGGCGAAAGGAAGACACGGAAAGCACAGATTAAGCAAAAGGTAAAGCGAACAAGAAGGCACAAAGATTAACAATGAAAAACGCGTGGCCAACGAGGGCAAAAAGGGCATTCCACTGTAGAAAAACTGAAACAGTGCGGTCAACAAAGAAGAAACCAATAATGCAGCCTTGAAGACAAGGAAATTGATGAGTCTTCTGCAAGCACCTTCAATTGAGGCCCCGGAAAAACAAAAGTGGTCCTGTAACCCTACCAACACGTGATAGGACGGTGGAAAAGTAGGAGCTGTTTTTTGAAAAAAAACCAAGGGAAGGACGTTTCCAGTGGAAAACCATGATGCCATTATCTGATCACTGGACGGCTAGATTCAAGTTTTGCAAAAGATCCACATTAAAGAAAAAGCCATATTTGCTTTTCAATATTATGGTAGAAACAATTAATTGTAGCTTTTCTCTTTGGAACACATGCTAGCAACTTTCATATTTAAATTTTCTCCCTCTTTCTTTTTTATTTTGTTTCTCATTCCGTAATGTTATAATCATGATTCAAACTTTTTATTTTTAAGATCACTTTCTAAGCACGAAGTATACTAAAATTCAATCAAATTCAAAACGTGTAGTAATAGACAAACCATGTCATTCGATAAACACTAAAATTTTGTCAATTTTAATAACTATTACTCATGTAATCATACGATAAACATCATTTCAATTTTCATATATATTAGTCGCCTACGGATCTCAAATATAAGAAACACATAGAATTTTCTACTTAGAAAATACCTCCAAAGAGAAAAGGAGAGACCCCCGTTTCCTTTTGCAAAATTCGGAAAACCCCCAAAATCAAACTACGCGGCAAACTGGCACCAAAAATATGGAGGGGAGTTCCGGCGCCTCTTCCGACACCGCAATCGAAACCCTAAGAACCGGATGATGGTGCTTCGGCAACCTCGAACAAGTGGAGGAGAAGATCCTGATCCACCCCGCCTTGTCCGACGAAACGCGTACGGTAGTGAACTCAATGGAACCCGAGCTCACCAACATGAACCTTAAATCCATCTCCGCCAGGTCCATGCCCGACCCGCATACGCTCCTAAGGTCCTCTCACCTCCTCGGCCCCAAAGTCCTCCAGGTAAATCACACCTCTCTGTATTTCTCGTTAATTTTTCTTGTCCTCTGTTTGGTTGCTGAGAAAATAGATAAAGAGAAAGAAAATTGTGGTCTCTCCTTTCTGTTTTGTTATCAAATGGCTTGGGTAAGGGACGTTGCTAAAAGCAGTACGGAGGATTTTTCGAGGAGTTTGAGTCGTCGACGGCTTTTGATGCCCGATGATCCCTGACGACGGCCACAGCTGTGGAGTACTCTCATACCCCGGCAATCCCTGACGAAGGTTTTCATTATTATTTGTTGTTTGTGGATGATTATTCGCGATATTCATGGATTTTTTCCATGAAACAAAAATCTGAAGTTTTTGCGATATTTGTGAAGTTTAAAGCCAAAGTTGAAAATATGTTTAACAAATCCATAAACACTCTTCAATGTGACGAAGGTGGTGAATATAAGAATCATTTTTTTCAAAGGTTTCTTGATATTCATGGTATTTCTCAGCGTTTTTCTTGCCCTAAACATCCTGAACAAAATGGTTTAGCTGAACGAAAACATCGACATATTGTCGAAACTGCCATGGTTATGCTTGCTCAATCTTTCATATCAACTACGTTTTGGTTTGACGCATGCTCAACTGCCACATATCTAATAAATCGATTACCTACTCGTGTATTATTTGATACATCTCCGTTTGAGAAATTATTTCAAAGAAAACCCAATTATGAGTTTTTGAAGGTGTTTGGTTGCCGTTGCTTTCCATGGCTAACACCATACACGCAAAACAAGTTACAACCAAAATCAAAGTCCTGTGTTTTTCTTGGATATTCTTTGAACCATCAAGGATACAGATGCTTGGACATGACCACAAGACGAGTTTATTTGTCTCGCCATGTTCTATTCGACGAGGACTCATTCCCTTTTAAGGGACTCACATCTCCTTCTGACAGTGTCGACGAACAAGGTAACAATTTTTTCCCTCATATCTTACCTAACTTTCCATTACCCACTAATCCACCATCCATGGTTGAACCTGTATCACAACTCAACCCACCTTTAGACCCTAACCTATCTATAGGACCCTCACTATCATCAAATGAGCAAGTTTTAGTAACTGAACATCGTGTGCAACCCACTGTCCCCAGTGATACTGGACATTCTATGACTACACGGTCTAAATTAGGGGTTCACAAACCAAATCCAAAATATGCTATGCATGTTGCACTTGATAACTCTCTTGTTGAGCCTACCTGTTTCAGTCAGGCAGTCAAACATCAGGCGTGGAGAGAAGCTATGGCGCAGGAGTTTAATGCACTGCAAAGAAATGGAACTTGGAGCTTAGTTCCGTACAATTCTACAATGAATGTGCTACCCAACAAATGGGTGTTTAAAATTAAACGTCACGCTGATGGCACTCTTGAGAGACATAAAGCTCGGTTAGTTGCCAATGGTTTTCATCAGAAAGCTGGTGTGGATTACACCGAAACTTTCAGCCATGTGGTAAAGCATAGCACCATTCGACTCGTGTTGAGTCTTGCTGTGTCAAAGAAGTGGCATGTACGCCAACTTGATGTGCAGAATGCGTTTTTGCATGGATACTTAAATGAACATGTTTACATGAGACAACCATCAGGTCGACCGGCCGAGGGCCCACTCCAACAACACCGATACTGTCCCCACTTAACCACCTGCACAATCCTCAGGTGTGGGGTTTTATCACAAAATGCCTCGATATTAGTTAGAGAGGGGTATTTCTATTTAAAGCACTCTTCTCTTCTTCCTCTGTCCGATGTGGGACTGGGGGTTCCAACACTCCCCCGCACGTGAGACCCCACTTATGGGTCACACGTGAATTTCCACACATCGGCAACCACGTAGAGCCATGTCGGGACTCACCCAATCACGTGGGGCCAATGGGGACCCACCCAAACACGTGGCATCTTTGGCTTACGTGAACAATCACGCGGGGCCAACGGGGACCCACCCAATCACGTGGTAGTACGGGCCCGCCTCCTGGCTTTGATACCATGTAGAAATTTTCAGGTCGACGGGCCGAGGGCCCACTCCAACAACACCGATACTGTCCCCACTTAACCACCTGCACAATCCTCAGGTGTGGGGTTTTATCACAAAAGACCTCGATATTAGTTAGAGAGGGGTATTTCTATTTAAAGCACTCTTCTCTTCTTCCTCTGTCCGATGTGGGACTGGGGGTGCCGGTTCATCCACTCCATGATTTGATGCTCCACATGCAGTGCAGAATCCTAGTCAGCAAGCATGGGTGTATGTACCTTGGAAGAAGCATACAGCACGGCAAGCTGTATGTGCATGTACATGTGTGCTGTCAGAAGTCTTCCCATGCGTGCTTGGTTACTGTTAAAGCATTTTCCCATGTGTGATGTCAGAAGACAGCAGATGGTGCTGCTGCATGAGTGTGTGCTGTTATCTCGTAGTTTAATATGTAAAGATGTATAGATGTGTGCTGTCAGAAGACAACAGATGGTGCTGCTGCATGTGTGTGTGCTGTTATCTCGTAGTTTAATATGTAAAGGTGTATAGATGGTGCTGCAGCATGTGTGTGCATGCTGTCACTTACAGTTTAATCTGTAAAGTGTTGTTGTGGTGTATATATCAAAGCCTTCCCGTAAGGCCTAAGATGAAAATGAGATTTTGAAGGTGTTTGGTTGCCGTTGCTTTCCATTGCTAACACCATACACGCAAAACAAGTTACAACCAAAATCAAAGTCCTGTGTTTTTCTTGGATATTCTTTGAACCATCAAGGATACAGATGCTTGGACATGACCACAAGACGAGTTTATTTGTCTCGCCATGTTCTATTCGACGAGGACTCATTCCCTTTTAAGGGACTCACATCTCCTTTTGACAGTGTCGACGAACAAGGTAACAATTTTTTCCCTCATATCTTACCTAACTTTCCATTACCCACTAATCCACCATCCATGGTTGAACCTGTATCACAACTCAACCCACCTTTAGACCCTAACCTATCTATAGGACCCTAACTATCATCAAATGAGCAAGTTTTAGTAACTGAACATCGTGTGCAACCCACTGTCCCCAGTGATACTGGACATTCTATGACTACACGGTCTAAATTAGGGGTTCACAAACCAAATCCAAAATATGCTATGCATGTTGCACTTGATAACTCTCTTGTTGAGTCTACCTGTTTCAGTCAGGCATTCAAACATCAGGCGTGGAGAGAAGCTATAGCGCAGGAGTTTAATGCACTACAAAGAAATGGAACTTGGAGCTTAGTTCCGTACAATTCTACAATGAATGTGCAACCCAACAAATGGGTGTTTAAAATTAAACGTCACGCTGATGGCACTCTTGAGAGACATAAAGCTCGGTTAGTTGCCAATGGTTTTCTTCAGAAAGCTGGTGTGGATTACACCGAAACTTTCAGCCCTGTGGTAAAGCATAGCACCATTCGACTCGTGTTGAGTCTTGTTGTGTCAAAGAAGTGGCCTGTACGCCAACTTGATGTGTAGAATGCGTTTTTGCATGGATACTTAAATGAACATGTTTACATGAGACAACCATCAGGCTTCATTGACAACCAGTTTCCTCATCATGTATGTAAGCTACATCGATCACTTTATGGTCTCAAACAAGCGCTTAGGGCTTGGTTTCAACGGTTCTCTGATTTCTTGTTTCAACTAGGGTTTAAGGAATCTACGTGTGATTACAGCCTTTTTGTGTTTGACAGGCAGGGTATATATATTATTCTGTTAATTTATGTCGACGACATTCTTATAACAGGGAATAATCCACGCCAGGTGGCTCATTTGATTCAGAAACTTGGTAGTTTGTTTCTAATGAAAGATTTAGGACTGCTCAGTTATTTCTTAGGCATTGAAGTGAAGTATAATGGTGATGCCATGCATCTTTGTCAGTCTAAATATGCACTGGATCTCCTCACTTGCACAAAATTCACAGATGCCAAACCTATTTCTACTCCTGTGTCGTCTGGTCAGAAACTGAGTGCTCATATTGGCGATCCTTACGTCAAACCAGAGATGTATCGCAGTGTTGTGGGGGCGCTCCAATACCTCACCATCACACGACCTGATCTGTCCTACGCTGTGAATCAAGTGTGCCAGTTTATGCATTCCCCGAAAAACACACACTGGATGGCAGTCAAGAGAATTCTTCGGTATCTAAAGGCTACATATAATCATGGCTTACTGTATCAACCAGGAACTGCTACGTTGACAGCTTATTCGGATGCAGATTACGCTGGCAACCCTAATACTCGTCATTCTACGGGTGATTTTCGTGTTTATTTGGGTTCTAATCTTGTCTCCTGGAGTTCAAAGAAGCAGAAGACCGTTTCACGTTCAAGTGCAGAAGCGGAGTATCGCCAATTAGCTTATACTGCTGCTGAATTATCATGGTTAAGGTCTCTCTACAAAGATCTTCATTTAAATTTGGTTCCATCAATCATTTGGTGTGACAACATTTCCTCAATTGCCCTGGCGTCCAATCCAGTCTTCCACTCGCGCACTAAGCATTTGGAGGTCGATTACCATTATGTTCGTGAAAAGGTGGTTCGAAAACAGCTCGTAGTAAGTTATGTGTGTTCTCAAGACCAGCTTGCTGACATTTTTACTAAAGGCCTATCTTCTTCACGATTTAAGTTTCTTGTCTCCAAGCTTCCAGTTGTTCCCCCACCTGTTCGCTTGCGGGGGGCTGTTAACCCAAGTCAATCTGCCGGTTCATCCACTCCATGATTTGATGCTGCACATGCAGTGCAGAATCCTAGTCGGCAAGCATGGGTGTATGTACCTTGGAAGAAGCATTCAGCACGGCAAGCTGTATGTGCATGTACATGTGTGCTGTCAGAAGTCTTCCTATGCGTGCTTGGTTACTGTTAAAGCATTTTCCCATGTGTGCTGTCAGAAGACAGCAGATGGTGCTGCTGCATGAGTGTGTGCTGTTATCTCGTAGTTTAATATGTAAAGGTGTATAGATGTGTGCTGTCAGAAGACAGCAGATGGTGCTGCTGCATGTGTGTGTGATGTTATCTCGTAGTTTAATATGTAAAGGTGTATAGATGGTGCTGCAGCATGTGTGTGCATGCTGTCACTTACAGTTTAATCTGTAAAGTGTTGTTGTGGTGTATATATCAAAGCCTTCCCGTAAGGCCTAAGATGAACATGAGATTTTGAAGTTATAATTCAAATCAGAAATTCTATATGGTATCAGAGCCAGGAGGCGGGCCCGTACTGCCATGTGATTGGGTGGGTCCCCGTTGGCCCCGCGTGATTGTCCACGTAGGCCAAAGATGCCACGTGTTTGGGTGGGTCCCCATTGGCCCCACGTGATTGGGTGAGTCCCGACATGGCTCCACGTGGTTGCCGATGTGTGGAAATTCACGTGTGACCCATAAGTGGGGTTTCACGTGCGGGGGAGTGTTGGAACCCCCAGTCCCACATCGGACAGAGGGAGAAGAGAAGAGTGCTTTAAAT